TTTTCTTCTAGTCCTAGGGCTTGAACTCAGGGTGTGGGTACTGTCCCTGAGCTTTTCTCTGAAGGCCAGTCCTCTACTACTTGAGCCACAGCTCCAGTACTGTCTTTCTTTGGTTAATTGGAGATTAGATTCTTATGAACTCTTGTCTGAGCTGGTTTCAAACTGTGATCTTCAGATTTCAGCCTCCTAAGCAGCTAGGATTACAGGCATGAGCACTGACAGTCAGCTTTCAATTATTTTTTATTTATTTTCTTTTTTTTTTGGGTCCGGTCGTGGGGCCTGAATTCTGGGCCTGCTTGCTGTCTCTCAGCTCTTTAGGTCAAGGCTAGTGCTCTACACGTTGAGCCACAGGGCCACTTCCGGCTCTTTTATTTTTGCTTATGTGGTGCTGAGGAATCGAACCCAGGGCCTCCTTCATGCATGCAAGGCAAGTGCTCTACCACTGAGCAACCCTCCCAGTCCCTCAGTTAATTTTTATGTCTAGTAATGTGCCATGTCCTTTAATGAAATCTTAGTCTTCCCCTTTTTATTCATGTTTTTTGTAAAAAGGAATTAGTATTGTGATAGTTCTTATATTATGTGATTTATCCACAATCTACCTTAATCTCATTTACCCTGTTTTATTCTTTCTTATCTTCCCTTTCTCCCTTTTGAAACAATTTTAACACATTTCACCATTTTTTTTCATTATACACACATAAAGTATTTCAGCCATAATTACCCCCATCTCCTTCTCATTAACGCTTCCAATGTTTGCTGGTTAATTAATGATTATTTATGAGTGAATGATTAGCTGGATTGTTTTTTGCTGTTTAATTCTTTGAGATCTTCATATGCACTGTATATTAATCCATTATCTGATTAACAGTTTAAATGCATTTTTTTTTCCATTCTGTTGTCTCTCTGGTCACCTTGTAATCATTTCTTTCACAATTCAGAAGTCTTGTTTCAATTCTTTTTTTTTTTTTTTTTTGGGTCCGGTCTTGGGCCTGAACTCTGGGTCTAGGCACTGTGCCTCAGCTCTTCGGCTCAAGGCTAGCGCTCTAGCTCTTGAGCCACAGCACCACTTCCGGCTTTTTTCTTTTTCCTTATGTGGTGCTGAGGAATCGAACCAGGGCCTCAGGCATGCAAGACAAGCGCTCTACCACTGAGCCACTTTCCTAGTCCCTTGTCTCCATTCTTGATTCTACTTGCTGAGCAATTAGAGTGTTATTCAGAAAGCTATCACCTATGAAAACATCTTTGGTTCTTTGCCTGTGCTTTCCTCAATCATTTTCACAGTTTCAGGCCATAATTAGTATCTTGATCCATTTTGTATTGAATTGATTTTTGTAGGGAATGAGAGATAGTAATGTACTTTGAATTGCTGATATTTATTTATATATTGTGTTTCTCCAACTATTTGTTAAAGAGGCTATCCTTTTTGAATGTAAGTTTTTCCCCTTTGTTTAAGATCAGATGGCCAGAAGTTGTGTGTTTTTTTTCCTGTGTCTTCTCTTCTCTTCTGTCATCTAGCTGTCTACTGTTTGTGTTGGTATGATGTGTTTTTTGTTACTGTGTCTCAATAGTGTATTTTGATGTTGGGAAGTATGACATCTCTAGCAGTGTCCTGTTAGTTCTGGATTGCTTTGGCTAGTTAAGATCTTGTGTAATCTCATGAACCTCAGGATTAATTTTTTTCTATTTGTATAAAATGATATTGGAATTTTGGAACAGCTTGTATTGAAACTAGATTCGCTTCAGTAATTCACCACATTATTTATTCTCCTGATTCATGAACATGGGAGATCCATTTTCTTTTTAACTTTATTGGATTCTTTTAAAAAAAAAAAATAGTACCAGCCAAGCATACGCAGCCAGGGACAGCAGTCAGGCCCTGAGATCAAGTCCCAGGACCAGCACCACAAATAATAGTGATATGGGTCACCTATGAAAAAAATCATGGCTTCTTTCTTAAAATGTATCATTTTTATTGTAGAAGCCTTTCATCTCCTGCGTTGGCTTTACTTGCAGGTACTTAATTTAATTTGTGAGGCTATTGCAAGCGCAACTCTTTTCTTTCTGACCCTCATTATTATTGGTAAATAGAAAAACAACTGATTTTTCCTCTTTCCTGGTTGTTGTTGTTTTGTTGGTGGTGGTGGTTTGGGGGCTTGAGCTCAAGGCCTCTATTCCTCAAGGCTACTACTTTAAGGCACAGTTCCACTTCTGATCCTTGATTTACAGGAAATAACTTTATTTTTTCCTTCTTAGTCCAGTGTTGCCTATCAGTTTAAACATACAGCCTTTATTATGTAGAGATATGGTCCTTCCAAATATTTTAATGTTGTATTATTTTTTTGAAAGTTGAGAAGTTTTTATTTTGTCCCCACAATAAATGTTATTAGTTCAGAAAATCTTCGCTGGAAACAAATCAGGTTTGTTTTGTAATTTTTAAGTGTTATGTAGCCCAGGATATCTTAAACTTGAGAGACAGTACCTCACTACAGTTGGGATGAGCTCCATCGAGTGAATTGAATAGGCTGTGAAGCCAGAGGTATTAACACCAATTCCCAGAGTTGCTAAAACCATGCGCAGGGTCTGCTGAGTTTCTGTAGAGAGGAAGACATATCAGAGGCAGGCATACTTGACTGGAGAAATCTGTCTACCCCAAACAATTATGAGAAGTTCTATTGGAGGGATTTGCTAGCAAGAAACATATGATAAACAAACAGAACCTAGGAGAAACTATGTAACCATGAGCTAGTGAAAGCAGACTCTAGTATGCTTGGGCTTAAGCACTGAATGAAGGAATGGAAAACATTTGCTGCAACTCTCCCTGCCCATTTGAGTTTTATCAGACATGGCAGAGGCAAGGAAAGTCAGGAAATGCTCTTTTCGTTGTTGTTGCTGTGGTTGTTGTTCAGGATGTGGTAGGAATAAATGGATAAAAATCCAAGGAGTTAA